ATATATATATATATATATATATATATATATATATATATATATATATATATACGTATTATAACAAAAATATAATTAAAATACTCAAGTATCGGATTATAAAGAAAATAATTAAAAGATTTGTGCTAACTTCGCTTATATCTCTTATAAACGACACATTTGATACATAGATTTAAAAATGATGACACATGACATGAAAGAGGATCTCGTCGAATGTGATAACACATCAATAAGATATAGGGTACACGTCGCTTAAGTGCTAAGTGAGCGCATACTTTTATATTATATTATATGCAGGATTGGGTAAGAATTTATTCTTTTTAACCAAGTTTAAAATTTAATATCTCATAAAATTAACTTGGTTAAGTTAGAAGTTATTTAGAAATGAACTCAATTGAAAGCTAAGTTAAAATAAAATTATTTTATTAAAGTTAAAACTTAATTATGCAAAACAACATATGTTTTGTAATTGATTTTTATTTGTAGATTAAATATATGTGAAATATTGAAAAGATAATCTTTTGTAAGAAAATACTGATTATTTTGCACTTAAGATTGCATACAAAAAACAACATCGACGCTCAAAGAGACGACAAAAGATATTATTTTTTATGTTTCTTATTTTATAAGCAGCCTGTAATAATTTTAATATTGATGAATTATTTGATAAATAACTTAAATAAAAAAAGTTGATAAACTAAGTTAATGCATTTTAAAATAATTAACTAAAGTTGATAAACTAAGTTAATGCATTTTAAAATAACTAGTTTACATTAAAAGTTAACTCACTCAAAATTAATTAAATTCAATTAAAATTTATTAACTTTTTAACTTAACTTTTAACCGATGAACATGTTATTGTTCAACTCTGGTCATTTTTTATATCTCTGTAAAATTATACTGACACACGTAAAGTGCAAATCTAAACGAGACTGTTGTTTGTTACAGAAATCTCAATCGGTCTCGTTAGAGACATATTATGTATAAATCTCATATTTATCGGAGCAGCGAAACTCCGCCACGAGACAGCGAATCTGAGAGCACGCCACTGCTCTCTTCGAGATCTCGTACGAGTTTAGAGCCGGTAGTATTGTTCGGTGATTCCGAAACAAGCAACTTAGTTCCGAGTTTGGCCAACGACTCTTTCCAGTACAGTATTTTTTAAATAGAATAATTCCATTTGCAATCACGGTCATAAAAATTATCTATATATTCCTTATACATATTTGTACACGGAAAAAATATTACAGTAAAAATTATATTAAAATTATCTTTTATTTTATAAGGCTTTTTTTGTAAAGCTGGATTATATGGATACATAGTATAAATTACTATAAAAATAGAAAAGTTGACGATCTATTGAATATACGATATTAAAAAAAAATATTCAAATAATTATAGTAATTTTGTAATGAAAAGTTAAACGTGTAATAAAAAGTCAAACATGTATTTTATACAAAAATCAAACGTGCATTTTATACTAACATATAATAATTTCGGTAATAATTTCTGTATAATTCAAAATTTCTTGTAATATGATACAATTGTGTAGCACAAAATTTTGTTACAATTTTTACTACAATATTTCCTCCGTACATGGATATATTCGTGATTAGATATATATATATATATATATATATATATATATATATATATATATATATTATTTATAGGAACATGTATATGCTTGTTTGTACCTATACAAAATAGTTTGAACATTTCTTTTTCTCGGCGCCTTTGAAACGTGTCTGATTCAGTAAGAAAATTTATCTTTTGAAAATCACTCGAGAGGAAATTCTCTTGTTGAACTTGACTACGTTCCGAAATTCGTCAAAAAAAGATATTCAAACTGTTCTGCAAACAAGTATATACGTCTATCGTTACATTGCTATTGCATCTTTTATTGTTTCTTAGGTATGGGAGCGCCGACACCGTCAATAATAGTGCAATCCTAACAGTGATACCGAAAAGTCCACCACCTCTGATGCTGAATAATGAATTATTCGTTTCTACAGCGGATCCACTGTGCAATCTCGGCCATGAAAAGAATTACGAGACATACAACATCGATTCGGTAAAAAGACAATATAAAAGTATATACGATGAAGTAAAAATAACAGTTACTTTTCAACTAGATCGTAGATGAGAGCCGATATTACTCGGATATCGCGTTCTCATTTTTAGATATTGATGAGTGAGAAGCCCGATGTGAACAATTACGCGCTCGGAGGAGATCTCAAAGCCGGATCGTTGCAGTTTCAACCTGACATAGTGCCAGTTACATGCAAGGATTTCAAGCCAAAACAAAGCTCGTTAGTCACCATGTGAGTAATTTTGAAATACGAAAGATGGATAGTCGAATATATTTTTGGGATAACATCATTATTTATGTAAAGATCTCCGATAGAACATTGATAATCGGCTTAACGTCCTCGCAATCATTGATACACTTGTCCATAAGTAGTGTCCTCGAATACGGATTAACTTAAAAGATTAAGAAAGATTATACAATTTATCACTCGCCTCTCTTCGCATAAATTTGGCAAAGAAGACTGGGAAACAATGCAGTTCGGTATCTCGAGATTCCGATTAAATATATTGACATATATGAAATATTTAAGTGCAATTTCACTAATTCTGTGTTGCCACCATAAGAAAAAAATGATTGTATATAATAATGATTATATTATACACAACACTATATATAAATAAATTATTATAAGTTACATATGAATGATTATATATATAAATGAATATATATAAATATGTACTTTTTATATGTGTGTGTGTGTGTGTGTGTGTGTGTGTGTGTGTGTGTGTGTGT